ATGAAGGTGAAAACCTCACTGTCAATGTCGATATGTCCCTCATTTCTTTATTTTTTCATATTCATTTTTTAACTGTTGCCATTCTTGGCCACTATTTACGCTGTGACATTTTCGTTTATTTTGTATAACCAAATCCAACCACCACATGCCAGTTTCTAAGTGCCTTATACTAGCCCTGTCCAAATATAACTACTCGTGTATTCAGACTACACGTCAAGACATTGAGTTTATTAGTGAAACTGACACTAAACCTTGTCCTGTCCTTGATTGAGAAACTTTGCTGCTGGAATATTGCACTTCTTGTATATGTGTGACTATCATGTAGAGATGAAACATCTTCAGCAAAAAAAGAATCAGTTATAGTAGAGGATCGCTGCAGTTAAGTTGTTATATTTTCAAACAACAAGAACGAAAACAACAAAGTCTTTATCCTAAATGTTCAGGGTTATCTACAGGAATCTTATTATTCGATGATTTCTACTCAGTTCTGACTAAGGAAATCTCCTTAACCATTATCGTATCTTTCTTAATAGTTTACAACCAAGCTCTCTTTAGACTTACTAGAATCCTTTTTAAAGCAAAAATTAGAAAAGTTTATCTTCATTACTTTAGTGAGACATTTGACCTGATTTTGAAGTGCGGTGGTTCTGCAAAGCAGTGACCATCCCTTGGATCCCAACTGCAGGTTTACATGCATCTTCTGTCAGGAGTTATCTCAAACAAAGGATCATGTTAGTTTAACTAACAAGTAACAACCCAAAGCAAAAGACATTACAAAACTGACATCTAGATACTGGCACTTATGATCTGATCAACCTAAGACAAAAAAATATTGATAACTTCCTTGGTAGTTCATTCGCTTAATGCTAGCTGCTGCACCCAGTAATACACTATATTGCCTTTGCACCTGCATTAGTTTAACAAATCTTTCAGTATTCATATATTTTTCTTCCTCTCTACTGATTGTTGAATATATTATGTGCTGATCTATCGTCTAAGTTAACAGTTATTGAGAATTAGCTTGCACTTCCTGAGGACCTGAGCTTTTATCTTTCAATTCACATTGCAGTGGTTTTCAGTCAAGAGGCAACATGCTTTGCTCATCACGGCTGACAGCTTATATTACACAAAATTCAAGCATTATTGCAAGGTACATTCATGTTTCGACACAAATTCCACTTTATATGTATTAATTGACCAATAACATTATTCTTAGTCTGTTATAGTTTCCTCATCATTGGACTTACTGTGATTCATCAAGTGAATTATCCTATTTATGGTTGAATTATCCTATTTATGGTTTCCTCTTAATTTTCTTTGGAAAGAGGACGTTAAGAACTGGTACTTTTGAGATGGTACTATATGTTCATATTACATGTTTATGGATGATCTACACAAACCCATAAGAAACACATACATGTATACACATAGACTAAATATTCTTTTATGGATGATCAGTTGCATCCATAGCATACATTAAGGTTTCAGCGAAAGGCGCAAAAAGATAAGATCACAAATTATGGTATATGTCGTGCTCATGGATATTCTGCTGAATCCATGATTTGCATGTATACACACTGCCCCATGTATGTTGAAATAAATATTCTAATGTCAATATAAATATCCAATAGTATCAGTTAAAAAAATTATTCAGGTGCGCTCATGCTTCTTTCTTCAAGTTTGGATTTAGCGAATCAATTCTTCAATTGCTTGTTTCAATTAATCGAATAATCTAACTTAAAACAAGTTTTCTTATTTATTTGCGAAAATTTGTGTTCAAACATATCAAGAAAACCATTATGCCCGATGTTGTGTGACCCATTCAAATTAGTGACCAATTCAACCACTAATAGCTCAACAAGAGGATATTTTGTTGAGAGGATAGTGAATAGTGGGTTGTTTGAGAAAATAAGTCTCTCAGATATTTGATGCAGTCTTTGAGGAGTGAAGATGATAGGGTGTAACCTCTATATATAGAATAGTCTTCTCTTTGAAAAGATATAACACAAAAAAGAAAAACCCCAATCCTATTATCGGAGCTCCCTCAGAAACCCATTAGAATTTTCTCTTTCTTTTTTTGCTCACTGATATCAAAGCAGTATTTTCCTTGCCTAAAAGTCTAATCTTTGCTCCCTCTAGAAACAGCCTTTTATCCATTGTTTTTTTTTCACCCACGTGAAACAACCTCTGTACGTGCTCCTGCTGACAATCGTTATATATTTTTTAATTTCTTCTCTTGCTTTGTCTGAGAAAGTTTTGGTACAGCTACATTTTTTCTCCTCAGCAGCTATCTACTATTTTTTTATCCCATTCCCAAGTATTTTTTTATTCCTTACAGATTAGATCACAAGAGCATCCTCACGTTTTTTGCTCCATATAAGGTTTTTATTATTTGTTTTGGTCTCTGGTCCAACAAGAGCAGCCATCACTTTTCAAAATTTTTAATTATTTTATCATGATCTACCAAAGCCACTCGTGACCTACTCCTCAATTCAAAAGCTTCCAAGTTTTTCTTTAAGTCACATCACCTAACTCTCCTCGGTTCACTTGCAAACACAATTATACCTTATATCCCTCTGTTCGAAGACGATAGCTGCTAGCCACGACCATTGCATCCACTACGGTCCACCGTCAAGCTCCTCGAGGAATCAATCAGACGCAAATTCATATCGGTAGACTATCACGACTTTTGTCCGACCAGCACCCTGCAGATCCAGTCCAACACAATTAGGCAACAGAAGATCATCTCCAAACCTAATGTGAATCGAATTCGACAAAGTGCTTCTCTGATCAACACAATTTCGCTAGAATCGGATTTGACTTCCTTCGTTTAGACCCGATTAGTTCTTCCCAGTTAGTTTTAGTTATTTTACTGAATGCCTAGTAAGCTTGTAGTAAGCTTGTTCTATGAAAAGTAGAAAAAATTGACAAATTTAATGACAATAACTATGATACGTGGTATAAAAAAATAGGATATGTTCTTTATTCATGATAACATTGATGATGTAATCGAAACTACTACTCCAATCCAACTGATAAGTCCACACTTGAAGAAACGAAAGAATTACAACAGTGAAAGCCGAAAGATAAAAAGGCGAAAAACCCAATGCTCATGTTTATGGAAGATAGTTTGATCAAAGTTTTTAAAATTTACAAGACTTTTATCGACATGTGACAATGCTATAAAAGAAAAATATGACACTGCCTTTAAAGTTAACATCCAACTCCTCTTGTATAAGTATAATTGTCGTATGTAAGAGGGAAACAATGTCATAGATCATATTAATAAGATGATTGTGGTTAAGGACTTGTTCACTGCTGGGACCGAAATCCTAAAAAGAATGTAAGTGGAAACTATATTGAATAGTTTTTCCTCTTCCTTTGCTGTGGCTATCACCACATTAAGAATGAACTTTGCCATCAAATCTATCACTGATCTTACAATGCACCTAGCAATAGAACAAAACTTCATTGCTAGCAGGAAGGAACCAGAACTGAACATAGTACAATAGGAGATGAATTATGTCCTCTAGAGGTATAATGCTGGAAACTATAGAAATCCTAACCCTAACCCTAACAAATCATAGCTGTGAGGACTAAAACTGCAGCAATTCAAGAGGAAGAAAGTGCTCCGTGGAGCCTGCTATAACTGTGGAAAGTTCAGGCATTTCAGACCCACTTCCTCACAAGGTGAAAATCATGAGAATAAAGGAGGCTACAAGCATCTAGAACAATGTGATACAAACAAAAAGAATGTATGTGTGATGAAATGCAACGCTGTCATGACGGATATCAACGATTAGTGGATCGACTCTAGTGCGACGATGCATATCGCAAAGGACAAGATTGGAGTCACAAAGTTAATCGAGCTGAAGAAAGGTGAACAGAGAATTTATATAAGAAACAATACCTATCTCGATGTAGAAGATATTTGTTTGTACAGATTGGACCTTGGGGACAATGTTCTCGTCCTCAAAGGTGTGTTCTACACGATGGGAACACGGTACAATATGATCTCTGTTCCTACATTGATGAAAAAAGGACTGGAAATTAGATTCTACAATAATAGGGTCCTATAGGCAAAAATAATAAAGTATATGCTATGCGAAAATTTATACCCGGGCATGAATTATGCATCCTTCCAGTTGTTTGTAATAATTCTGATAATAAAATTTTCGATTTGAACTAGTTGTCATATTATATTTTTGAGTCTGAATTGTGACATTTTAGACCAGGGCATGCTAGTGTTTCAAAAATAAAAGAAATTATCAGAATGAACTTGTTGCATGCACTATCCAATGTTCAATTGTCATTATATGAACATTGTTTAACTAGTAAAATGATCAGAAAACCTTTCATTGGCGGACAAAGAGCCAATGAACTTTTAGGATTGATATACTTGGATATTTGTGATTCCCAAGTGTTAAAACTCAGTAATAAATAATATTTTATTATTTTTGTAGATGATTATTTCAAATATGCATATGTCTATCTTATTTTTAGAAAATTGAAAGTCTGTGAATGTTTTAAGAGATATAAGACGGGAGTTAAAAACCAACTTGGAAGGAAAATCAAAATTTTGATAATTGATAGAGGCAGGGAATATAACTCTAAAGAATTTAAAAGTTATTGTATTGAGCATAGAATTAAAAGGGATACAATAATGCCGTATACGCCATAATAGAATGGTGTTATGAAAGAAAAAATAAAACATTACTGGATGTAATTATGTACATGTTGTCTCATTCTGATCTCTTTAAAAGATTTTAGGGAGAAGCATTGTTAACTACAAACTATATTTTAAGTAAAATTTCTACCAAGTTAGTTGTATCCATACCTTATGAATTATAGAATGTGAAATCTAATCTAAGTCATCTCAGGAAGGAGGGATCTATAACCCATGTTCTCATTCCATACCAATTTAGAGATAAGTTGGACTTTAAAAAAGTAAAGTGTAGATTCATAGGGTATTCAGAAAAGTTAAAAGGTTATAAGTTTTACAATAAAGAAAATGGGGTCATTGAAAACAAAGATGCTATATTTCTAAAGAATTTAGAGGAAGATGAACAAGTTTAAGAGGAAACAGAACCTCTCACTATAATAGATAATGATTTTTACAATGTTGTTCCTAGTAATGGTTCAGATACTGTGAATGAACCTAATTTGAAATGACGAGACACCGATGAAATGATATACCTCAACTGGTTGTAGGTAACAAAACGCTAAGAACACAACTGTGACACCCCCACTTTAGTCCTACATGAACTAGTGTGAAGAAATATTAGTGGCTTAAATAGAAAAGCCCAAGACCCAAGAATAACTAGTACTAGCATTTTAGTAATGAACTTTAGCCAACGTAGAGTTGCTTTTGGTGGGTCTCACGGCTTGCACGCACCAACGGGTTCGTGGGCTAGGGACGTGACAAAGTAGTATCAGAGTAATTACCAGCCGAAAGTGTGGAGCTAAGTGCTATACGGGGTTAAGTGTTACATCGTGTGAATGTAGTGGGGGCCACCTCTAGAACCCGTAGGAGCTACCTTTAGAGTCCACATCGCCTGACAGTGATATTAGGATGTGCCAATTATCATGTCGTGACGATGATGACGTTTTTTTTATAAGGTGGGGTGATTGTGATATCCTCATTTTAGTTCCACATGGATTAGTGTGAAGAAATGTTAGTGACTTAAATAGAGAAGGCCAAGGTTCAAGAACAACTAGTGTTAGCATTTTGACAGTGAACTTTAGCCAATATCAAGTTGTTCTTGGTGTGTCCCATGGCTTGCATGTGCTAACGGGCCTGTGGGCTCGGGGCGTGATAACAACCTTCAAGAATGGATGATTACTATTTGCATTCATGTGAGCCATCTTATTTCTCGGTAATTACAAATATAGAAGAACGGAATCTCTTAATCTTCTCTGATGCGATGAAATCATATGAATCAGCTTTATGGCCAGAAGCCACGAGAGAACTTGATTCTGTAGAAAAGAATAAGCTCAGGAAGTTATGTGATCTACCAAAAAATAGAAAAACCATAGGGATGCAAATAGGTGCTTGAAAAGAAATACCGTGTTGATGGATCAATTGATAAATTTAAAGCACAGTTAGTTGCCAAGGGTTATAATCAGAAGGCAGCAGTAGACTTTTAGGAGACATTCTCCTATAGCTAAATTTACATCTATCATAATTATTTTGGCTATTGTTGCATATCTTGATTTGAAGTTATTTCAAATGGATGTTAAAACAACATTTCTTAACGAAGAGTTAAAGGAAGTGATATATATGCAATAAACTGGAGGTTTTCAGATGAAATGATATGAACATAAAGTTTACAAATTGATAAAATCTCCATATAGTTTAAAGCAGTCTAGACAGTGGTATCTTTTTCATGATGCAGTCACCAAACTTGATTTTGTTTAGAATAAATTAGATAATTGTGCATATATTTTGAAAAGTAGGAACAGATTTACTAAATTATCCTTATATGTGGATGATATATTGCTCGTCGGAAATAACATGAAAATGTTCAATAAAATCAAGGTAGATCTCAATAAAAAGTTTGACATGAAAGACATAGGAGATGCATGATATATTCTTGGAATTCAAAGTTTTCAAGATAAAAAGTTCAGAATGTTAAGTTTAAACCAGAAAAAATATTTAAGATTAGTTCTCAAGAGATTTTGAATGGAGAATTCCAATCCGACACTAACTTTATTGGTTATGGGAAAGAGATTGTGTAAAGAGCAAAGCCCTGGAGATGGGCAAAACTCATTTGATGTTTCTTATGCTCAAGCAGTTGAAAACTTAATGTATGCAATGTTGTGCACCAGACCTGATTTAGCTTATGCTGTAAGTCTGTTTAGTCGATATTAAAGTAATTCGGGACCAGCACATTGAGAAGCTGTTAAAAGGATTATGAAGTATATCAGAGGTATATTAACTCAGATTGTTTATCAAGCCAATTTGTCTGATCTCCTCGGTTACTTCGATGTTGATTTCAGGGGTGATAAAGATGATGGAAAGTCTACTTTGGGACACTTGTTCATTGTGGGAGAAAGAGCTGTTTCTTAGAGTAGTAAGAAATAAGAGTGTGTTGTTAGATACACACGAGAGGCTGAATATATAGCTTGCAGTATTGCAACTATATATGCTATCTCGATAAGATTGTTTTTATTGATTCAGATCTCAATTTGTTAGAAGGACCTGTTGATATTTATTATCATAATCAAGCAACAATTAGCCTAATTAATTATGGTGTGAATAGCTTCAAAGGAAAACATATTGAGATCCGGTATCACTATATTCGAGATATTGTAGAATAGGAAGAAGTTAAAGTGATTTACATTCCTACTACAGATATGATTACTAATCCTTTGACAAAAGGAATATTAGCGAAATCCTTTATCAAACATGTAAGTTTAATGAGGCTTAATAATAGATAAGTCCAAGTAAAGTTTCGTGATAATGAAATAAGAGTTACTCTCTAAGAATAGTGAAAGTAATGGTGAGAAGAAACATCTGATCTCATGGATAGTGGGAGTTATATCGTTCGGTCTAATTGGTCAAGCAGGAGATGTTATTTGACCCATTCAAATTAGTGACCAATTCAACCATTAATAGTTTGACAAGAGGATATTTTGTCGAGAGGATAATGGGTAGTGGGTTATTTGAGAAAATATCTCGCTCAAATTTCTGAGACAGTCTTTGAGGGGAGTAGTCTTCTATTTAAGAAGATATAATACGGAGAAGAAAAATCTCAATCCCATTACTGGAGCCCCCTCAAAAACCTATTAGAATTTTCTCTTTTGTTTTTGCTCATTGGTATCGGAATAGTATTTTCCTTTGCAGCTAACAATGTATGTTAAGCAAACTTAAAACTCAACACTTCCCCTCACTTGGGAGTTCAGGTCTACATGGAAAAACCTCCAAAATAAACATTCCCTTGTAAAGGCTAAATGAACGTGGTAAACAGATAATGATTTGATATGCGATGATGAGATATTCACACAATATCTCTCGATCTGATGTTCTAATACCTCTTTATCGAACCGCACGTGGGTGTTGAGGTCTACATGGAAAGACCTGATGATGAAATATTATAAACCTCTTTATCCAAAAGCTTAAGCTAATGTATTGCATGCAAATGTGTACAGTGTTAGAATATAGAAACATAACCCTCAATTCTCACCATAACTTTGGAGTTGCAGTGGTAGGATTCTTCAAGATGGTATCAGAGCAACCTAGTTTTGGATCCCGCTGGCCACAATTTTAATGCAGAATTTTAAAAAATTGATACCATTGTGTGTCCAGGATTAGCCCATAAAAAAGGTGCTCAAGCTGCGGGGGACATGTTAGACTATAGAAATATAACCCTTAACCCTCACCATAACTACGTTATTTTGATGCTGTGGCGGGGTCCTTCAAAATACAGCAAGCAAATTTAATTGTTACAAAAACTAAACTAAACACTGCCCTCTACTTCATTCCAAATAGTCATCTTTATGAATGTTCTAATTAATCAAACCATTGAAGAAAACAGTTATCAAACTCTAGTTTATGGCTGTTACTTACTGGAGCAAATAGCCAATAAAAGTCAAGGAGCTAGCTATTTTGCATAACAGTAAGGTGTATTTTTTTATCTTGCTTCGTGCATTTAGCTTTCACCATATTAATTGTTAATTATTAAATAGGCAGATGTTATTCCAGAGCATATTCTCACAAAATCATATAAATATTTCTTACATTCCTGTTATAAGTCTAGCATGTGGAATTTTTAATGATGGACTACTGTGCATTGATAATATCTGTCATTTCTGGAAATTTGTTTTTATGTCCAATATATCTTTAGGCCTGGACTGCTAATTTGTCTCTTTTCATTTTCAACTTTTTTTAGCTGTACCAGTGTGCATGAGTTAAATGCTTGAAGATTTGATCTGTGAACTATAGATTAAGGGTTGTAAGTTAAAATAAGTTAGCAGATGCATATTGAGTTGTGATTTGTTCAGTGCTATAATGATACTTGGTGCTGAGCACAAAAAAAAAAAAGGCTGCAGTCCGTTATGTTCCTTCTTAGCCATCTGAAACACCTAAAATATGTTATATGTGTGGTCCAAGGTTCCTTAGTTTGACAAATTATTGAATTTCTGGCCTCTGGTTGTAGTAGCCACCCACTTGTGATACTTTTTTCTTTCACTTTGAATGCCAAAGTAGTGAGTTGATAGTTGCGTAATCTTACACGCTACAACCTTAAGTTTGGCACACCTGAGTGCCTGGACTGGTGAGAAGACCCATGTGGTCTATTTTATGAGTTATTTTAAGATTACTACCTGCCAAAGTTTTGTAGTAATAGAAAAATAAAGGGGCACACTGCAAGATAATTATCTGTTTCTACGAATTGATTAAATCCTAACATATAACTATCCTGCTCTTTTATCTGGAGAAATAATGCTTGTCTTCTTGATTAGTTTTGTGCGGAATATACTGATGGCATATGTTTTGATTGTCACAGCCAGGTATGGAAGGCCATCGCAACTGCTATGCTGATGAACACTATTTACCAACTCTTTTCCATGTTAGCACATGCCACCTTTTTTTACCTTAATGCATAAAGAGAGGTGTAACATCTGCATAATGACCTCAGATTGGATCTACGAATTCACTGCAGCCATTCAATTGTGGACCCTGTTCGTGAGACTTACAGGGTCTGCAGTTTGGATAACTGTGGTGTGTTCAGAAGTCAGGAGAGGATTATTTTCTATGCATAAATTGTTTGTATTTTTCTAGCAGTACTTATATGGACCTTTGTTATGTTTCTTTTCAGATGGTTGACCCCGGTGGCATTGCAAATTGGTCAGTGACCCATGTTGATTGGTCAGAAGGGAAGTGGCACCCTAAAGCATATAGAGCTCAGGATGTAACCTTCGAGCTCATGAAGAACATTAGTGTATAACTTTCCCTGAATGCTTATGTTGTTTATTTTCTGCATATGTATAATCTAATGAAATCTTATTGATTTAATTTTATTGTATTTATGTTGCCTGCAGTCTATTGATGAGACTATACATGTTACGAGTAATGCAAAGGTAAGCTCACTGACACAATTTCATTCTCTATTCCCCAGTGTTCAATTAAAAGTTAAACATGATACATTAGTATTAAGTTGTCAGGAGCCAAATACTAGTGTTTAGCATATTATGCAGGGCTTACCAAAGAACTTTCTCCAGCAGGCTTGAGAAATATAGACCATGCCACTGTTTGTAGGATTCTTGCAGAATGCAAATTAACTGTGTATTAAACCTCATGATAAAGGGATGTACACATGCTTTCTTGTTTATTACTGGAAACCTTAATGAGGAAATCCTCCTATTGGAATCAGACCTAATTTACAGCACTTGCTATGATTGACAAAAGGTCAAATTTGGACATGATGATGAACATGTAGGAGGCTAGACCACAATGTAACCCTTAGTTGAGAACTAACTAGTTGAAAATTATGTAACCATATATCTAGTCATTTCCTGCCAGAATTAGACGCTAAATCCCACACCTTATCCTTCGATGAACTCATCAATTTGGCTGTTGTTGACTGAATGCTGGACGCAGGCTCCTACATTATTTAGTTCCTCCAGCAACATCCTTTAGTTCCCTCATTGGCACAACTTACTCCTTTCTGCACACCTGGTATGATACATCTTACTATTTCTCACTTAAGAAGAAATGCATTATGTTATTGTGATTAGCATTAACAGTCCAAGCGTAGATCGTCTCATATCTAAATAAAAGCCGTTAACTAAAACATGAAATGTCAAAGGAATGAGTATATGAGAAATCTATACTATATATTTAAGAAAAGCAACCTTTTTTGTTTTTGTGTCTATTATTTCAGAAATACCAAAAATACCCTCACACTTCAAAAAATCAAAAGAAACACATTTACACTAGCAAAAGATAACTAAAATGCCTAAAACTTGAGGGTCAACACAAATGCTGCCATTCTCATAAAAACCATTCGAAATGCCCTCACATTTTCTTGTTATGCACGCATCGCATGCCCCGGAATACAAGTATACATAGCATGAGTGTGACCAACATCTAGTATGCATAGGCTAAATACATTTTATTGTATAATTGAAGGCATGTATAGAGAAGTGAGACCAACATGTCCAACAACAGCCCAATACAGCTAATAAAATAGAAATACTTCATAGTCATAAATAAAAGGGTTAATTGCAGATAGACCTATGTTGTTCTATTGTTGTGGGTAGACCTCGTACTGTCGCCCAATTGCGGGTAGATCCCTGAGTGAAATTTCTTCTTCACTCTTTTACTCTCAAGATGTCTATTTGTCTAGTAATAATAATAATAATTTTCTATTTCTCTGAGGAGTAAACGAGTCAAAAAGAAGTTCGCTGGGGCTCTCTATCTGCAACAATAGAACTACATATGGTCTATCCGCAACTGCGCGATAGTACAAGGGGGTCTATCTGCAATTAACCCTAAAAAAAATCCATAACTTGTCAAGTAAAGAAGCTTGGTAGGTAATGTTTTGGTGATTCTTGCATCTTATGTTTATATTTGCATGTAAATGAGGTTCAATGATTTATAAACCCAGTGGACTTGAGGTCAGACAATCTAGAAAAGTTCATCCTCTCATGATGTGCTTCGTTCCATTCCCTCCTTTCATGTGATTTGTCATTTTTACCTTCTTTTATATATTCACGTCATGTGTGAGATAGCAATAAATAATCCTTGCTTCAATGGTGATATGCAGAAAATAGTTATGAAGAAACCCTGCTTGTGGAATGGAATGAAGAGGCCATGCTATTTATTTGCTAGGAAATTTTACCCCGAAGCCCGAGATAAATTGATGCACTTATTCTCTAATTTCACAGCCTTTTGAGTCATCTATGTTTTCATCGTTTGCGTGGCAGAGTATCGGTTTTGAACTGCTGCCTCTAATCCCAGTGGTTCTCTGTTTTACGGGAACCTTGTAAAGTTCAGATTTGTGTGTAGAGATCTCTTAGGGCTTACGAATTAGAAACCATTGGGTATCAGGATGTCGAGGCTGAGGATTCTATCAATTAATTCTTCACTATTACCCGCTCGAGGTAATTTTTTTCTTGTCTTTTCTAGATTGGTAATGGTCTATTCTTGAAACTTCCTGATCGAAAATTTTGTCTATCTATTTAACAACTGTAAGAGAATATGTTCTTCCCCCCTGTTCTTTCTTTAGTAGAAACAGAAGAAAATTATTACACGAATTTTTGCTCTTGTATTTGGACTTGCTGATCCTTTCAGAAATATATATTTGTGACATTGAGAAGCTGAAATTTGATGATAGTTTCATAAAATAGAGCTCTATTTTTTATTTTTGCTACAGTAATTCTATATTTAAATAGTGAATCTTGGATCCTCCCATTGTTATAGAGAAATATATAAGAGGGAAAAGAGGAAACTAGCTTTGGGCTATCTATGTACTAAGAACTTATTGATTTAGATTAGGGTTTCTTTGTAAAATGTCAAACTTTAGCTTCTCCTTGTAAAAATATCAAAAATCAAAATTTCCT